ATGGTCAAATTTTCAATGTTTTACGTTAAGTGAAAATATAAGACTATGTAATGATGATAAAGATTTCAACTTATGGCTCTTAGAGGTTGGAAATGGAAAATCTAATAACTTCTTTGAAGAAGAAAATCAAGCAAAATTATTGCCTAGTGAAATAATATGCAATAGTGACATAGTAACAGAAATTTATGGTAATGAAATCAATCCAAATGAACTTGATATACACGAAAAGGTCATATTAGCGCCGCGGAATAATGATGTATTTGAATTAAACAATGAAATTCTTGAAAGAATTAATGGTGAAAGTAGGGAATATTTAAGTATAGATTTCTGTGAGGAAGATGAAGAAGATAATACATTAAGTACACTAGTACCAACCGAAGTTTTAAATACACTAACTCCAAATGGACTACCACCTCATAAATTAAATTTAAAGATAGGAGCAATAGTAATACTATTAAGAAATGTTAATTTAGAAAAAGGACTTTGTAATGGAACAAGATTAAGAATCATAAAATTAGAAAACTATACCATTTATGCCGAAATACTTACCGGAAATTATAAAAATGAAATTGTTATATTGCCGCGAATAACATTGTCTCCTTCGAATGAAGAAATACCCTTTAAAATGTCGAGAAAACAATTCCCCATAAGACTAGGATTTGCTTTGACGATAAACAAATCTCAAGGCCAATCATTTAAAAAAGTAGGATTATACTTACCATCACATGTATTTAGTCATGGACAATTTTATGTTGGTGTGTCGAGAGTAAAATCTAAAAATAATCTAAAAGTACTATTAACAGCAAATTCACGTATTACTGATGATAATAATAATAAAGAATACTATGTTAAAAACATTGTTTATACTGAAGTTTTAGATTAATATTGCACCCATGAACAACATTTTGAGGTTTAATAATTATATACAATAAAAAACAGCAATGATCTTGAAATGAGCAAGGTTAACTATGTATTAAAAAAAATGAATGACTGCGCTGAAGAAAATCGGCTGCGTCTTTTAAGGAATACTAAATTAATGACAAAAAATAATAAAAACAATTGAAGAGCAAAAATGAAAGACAGCGCTGAACAATATCGGCTGCGTCTTTTAAGGAATACTAAATTAATGACAAAAAATAATAAAAACAATTAAAGAGCAAAAATGAAAGACAGCGCTGAACAATATCGGCTGCGTCTTTTAAGGAAGACTAAATTAATAACCAATAATGATAAAACCTATCAAAGTACAATATTAAAAGACAGCGCTGAATAATATCGGCTGCGTCTTTTAAGGAAGGCTGAATTAATAACCAATAATGATAAAACCTATCAAAGTACAATATTAAAAGACAGCGCTGAACAATATCGGCTGCGTCTTTAAATGACAACAAAATAATAATTATAAGAAATAATAAAAACCATTGAAGAGCAATAATTAAATAATGCATTTATATAAGATAATCCAAAATATCTTATGTAGTAATCCTACAGGTAATAGTGTATATTGGGTTTTTACATATATCTTAATAATTAAATCAACTACTTTACAGGGATGCCAGCAGGCGGAGGATTTTCGATCCCACCACGCGACCACTTCTACCCCCACTATACCTACCGGCGGAGGAAACGGAGAATACACGGCAATGATAGCCTTTTTCTGTTTTCTGTTATAAAGGTGAATACTAACCTAAACTGGGCGTAAGAGGCGCGAAATTCAAACGCATATTTAAAATCATTTAGGTAATTATTACTCTATTATTTATTATTATCTATTATTTTTAACAATTAATTGTGCGAACCTTAATACAATTATTTAATATTCTTTTTAATAATCACACTCTCTGTAAAAAGTCGTGCTTAATTTTATTAGTTTTTTATTGTTTTATAATTAAATATATAATTTTATTATTTAATAAATTTAAAATTTATTATTAAATTATTAATATACATGCATGTTAATTAAAAACTAAAAATTTTTTGTATTTTATAGACAGTAATTTAAATTATTTTAATATTTGTTTGTTTTTTAGATACTTTTTTTAAAAGTCGTTTTTTATTACAATTTTTATAAATATTTATACTGTTCTCTAAATTTGAATTAGTTAAAAATAATTAATTTTATAGTAAAAAATCAGTCACTGATTCAAATTTATTATGTAAATAAGTTTAAAAAAATTATCGAATTAATAGAAATTTTGTGAAATTCAACTGAAAATAATTAAATTTGTTTAAGAATTTCATTAAAAACTTTTTAACATAACGAATTTTCAAAGTATTTTAATTTAATAATTGAGAAATAATTAAATTGTATAAAAAGTCATATGCTAATGTATTGATGTTTCTTAGTGCGAAGATTAATAATTAAAATTTTTATTAGTTAATTTAAAAAAGATACACACTTAAAATATTTTAATAGAATTAAATTTTCGCAAAATTTTATTGAAAATCCTAAAAAAATAAGATTTTTGAAATTTTTCAATTCTATTGAAAATAATTAAATTATTTTAAAGAATTTTATTTAAATTTCTCGAAAATAATCGAGGAAAGTTTGTCATTGTAATTATAATTTTACTTTCAAAATATAAAGTCTCTCTTAAAGTTTTAAATCAATTTTTTGCTTCTAAAAGTTATATTAATATATTATTATTCAAGAATTATAATTATAAAGCTTCTCTTGAATTTTTATAGTTTTAAATTTCTGAATGTTAATATAATTGACATTTATTTATTTATTTCTTGAGCAAATTAAATTTTTATTTATTATTAAATTATTAATATACATGCATGTTAATTAAAAACTAAAAATTTTTTGTATTTTATAGACAGTAATTTAAATTATTTTAATATTTGTTTGTTTTTTAGATACTTTTTTTAAAAGTCGTTTTTTATTACAATTTTTATAAATATTTATACTGTTCTCTAAATTTGAATTAGTTAAAAATAATTAATTTTATAGTAAAAAATCAGTCACTGATTCAAATTTATTATGTAAATAAGTTTAAAAAAATTATCGAATTAATAGAAATTTTGTGAAATTCAACTGAAAATAATTAAATTTGTTTAAGAATTTCATTAAAAACTTTTTAACATAACGAATTTTCAAAGTATTTTAATTTAATAATTGAGAAATAATTAAATTGTATAAAAAGTCATATGCTAATGTATTGATGTTTCTTAGTGCGAAGATTAATAATTAAAATTTTTATTAGTTAATTTAAAAAAGATACACACTTAAAATATTTTAATAGAATTAAATTTTCGCAAAATTTTATTGAAAATCCTAAAAAAATAAGATTTTTGAAATTTTTCAATTCTATTGAAAATAATTAAATTATTTTAAAGAATTTTATTTAAATTTCTCGAAAATAATCGAGGAAAGTTTGTCATTGTAATTATAATTTTACTTTCAAAATATAAAGTCTCTCTTAAAGTTTTAAATCAATTTTTTGCTTCTAAAAGTTATATTAATATATTATTATTCAAGAATTATAATTATAAAGCTTCTCTTGAATTTTTATAGTTTTAAATTTCTGAATGTTAATATAATTGACATTTATTTATTTATTTCTTGAGCAAATTAAATTTTTATTAGTATTATCAAGTACATAATTAATTATTACTGCGTATTATTTTTAAAAATTTTAATAAAATTCTTCGCAAGAATTCAATTATTTTCATAAATAATAACATTCTTTGAAAGGATTCAATTACTTTTATATATTATAGTAAAATTCTTTGCAGAAATTTATTTAATATCAATACATTTTAATAAAATTGAATTAATCAAATTTTTAATTATAATTATGAACAGATAAGATTATTTTAACAAATTGAAAATATTCTTTGTTTAATTCAATTATTTTCCAAACTTTTTAATAAAAATTATTAAAAAAAATTATTTTCAAAAAATTTAAAGCAACTCGTCAAAAGAATTTTATTGTTCATAATAACTCTAATAAAAAATTTTGAAGCCATTTGTAGATTTATTAAAGTTCAAAATGAAATAAATTTAGAATTAATGGAAAAAAAACCAGAAAATAACCGAGAATTTTGTTGAACAAAAATAGTAGACACCCTGATTAATAATTATTGCATTAATAATAAAAGAATAAATCACATTTATTTTAATTGTAATAACTAAATTTTTTGAAAGATCAGAATTAGCTAATTTTATAGAATTATAAATAAGAAACTAAAAAAACTAATAAAATTAAGAACGACTTTTTACAGAGAGTGTGATTATTAAAAAGAATATTAAATAATTGTATTCAGGTTCGCACAATTAATTGTTAAAAATAATGAACGTAATCTAAAAATGCCAATAAAAACTGTAACAGAATTTAATATGTTTATAATCTTAGGTTTATTTAAGTAAAAAAATTATTTTTATAATATTGCAGAATTTTTTATTCTGGAAAATTTATTGAGATAAATTAGTGTTTTCAAAGAATGCAAATTATACAATTTTATCATTGTGAGAATTAAATTATTATATTTTCAATAATATTAAATATTATTTTTTAATATTTTAATATTAAATAATCTAAAAAATTATAATAGTTAAATAAAGAAAGTAAATTAATAGAGAAATAGTTGTAATAATTAAAATATGTAATACTGGTGATTAATATGAATTTAAATAATTATTATAATATGTTTGAGAATAATTTGCTACCGTTGTTAATAAAAGTGATAATAAAATATTAATTTCATTAAATTTTATAGATTTAATTTATCACTATTAAATAATAGAGTAATAATTACCTAAATGATTTTAAATATGCGTTTGAATTTCGCGCCTCTTACGCCCAGTTTAGGTTAGTATTCACCTTTATAACAGAAAACAGAAAAAGGCTATCATTGCCGTGTATTCTCCGTTTCCTCCGCCGGTAGGTATAGTGGGGGTAGAAGTGGTCGCGTGGTGGGATCGAAAATCCTCCGCCTGCTGGCATCCCTGCTACTTTAACATGTTTTTAAATATATTTTGTTATATATTTCAGATGATGGAATTATGTATAACACATCTGTGCAAGCTTAACAGCGACGTGTCAGTGTTACTACTAAACATTTGCAGATGCAACAGAATAGTATTATATATGTATATAACTAAATTAAATCAGGCTTTATGTAACATTTTTTAGTTTATTTAATATTTTTTGTATATACAATTTTTTAGTATTAAATATAACTGTTATTTTTTTTGTATTAACTTCGATTGATATTATAATTTATTTTTTCTTTGTGAACAAGAAAACCCATGTATATTCTTTTTTCAGTATGTAGTAAAATATAATAAATTCTGAAAAGAGAACTGGATCCAGTTCTAAAACGTCAAATTAAGAAATTTTTAATTGACATGTCCTTTTGGAGATCGTGAGTAAATTATCACGTACTTCTTCGAGGGATAAAATTGGTTAAACCTATTTTCTCTCATATTTTATAGAAAAATATTAAATACGTATTGTTTTAATATTCAATTAATAACACTACTGGCCATGCGTAATAATGATAGAACACTACTGCGCATGCGTAATATTAATAGAACACTACTGCGCATGCGTAACATTGGCAGAACACTACTGCGCATGCTTAATATTGGCAGAACACTACTGCGCATGCTTAATATTGGCAGAACACTACTGCGCATGCGTAACATTGACAGAACACTACTGCACATGCGTAACATTGACAGAACACTACTGCGCATGCGTAATATTGGCAGAACACTACTGCGCATGCGTAACATTAACAGAACACTACTGCGCATGCGTAACATTGATAGAACACTACTGCGCATGCCTGACATTGATAGAACATTACTGCGCATGCGTAACATTGACAGAACACTACTGCGCATGCGTAATATTGATAGAACACTACTGCGCATGCCTGACATTGATAGAACATTACTGCGCATGCGTAACATTGGCAGAACACTACTGCGCATGCGTAATATTGGCAGAACACTACTGCGCATGCGTAATATTGGCAGAACACTACTGCGCATGCGTAACATTGGCAGAACACTACTGCGCATGCGTAACAGTGATAGAACACTACTGCGCATGCGTAACAGTGATAGAACACTACTGCGCATGCGTAATATTGACAGAACACTACTGCGCATGCGTAACATTAACAGAACACTACTGCGCATGCGTAATATTGGCAGAACACTACTGCGCATGCGTAACATTGGCAGAACACTACTGCGCATGCGTAACATTGGCAGAACACTACTGCGCATGCGTAATATTGACAGAACACTACTGCGCATGCGTAATATTGGCAGAACACTACTGCGCATGCGTAACATTAACAGAACACTACTGCGCATGCGTAACATTGATAGAACACTACTGCGCATGCCTGACATTGATAGAACATTACTGCGCATGCGTAACATTGACAGAACACTACTGCGCATGCGTAATATTGATAGAACACTACTGCGCATGCCTGACATTGATAGAACATTACTGCGCATGCGTAACATTGACAGAACACTACTGCGCATGCGTAATATTGGCAGAACACTACTGCGCATGCGTAACATTAACAGAACACTACTGCGCATGCGTAACATTAACAGAACACTACTGCGCATGCGTGACATTGTGAATATGTATACATTTGTGTTAATATTATTTTTAAAAGATATACATATATATACGGCTAGGGTCGGTCGGTCGGTCGGTCGGTCGGTCGTTCTTCAACTTAATATAATAAGAGATATCTTAACATTTGTCAGGGGGAAGAAAAATAGTGGTGGAAAAAAAATTATCGAATTTCGACTCTGTAAGACACAGTGATGTGTTAAATCAATTTTTATTAGAAAATTCTACTAGAATTCAATTATTTAAATAAAAAAAAAGTTTATTGAATAATTGCATGTTTTTTAAAATTTAATTCCCATTTAAAGAATTTTATTTTTAAATAATTGAATTCTTTTCACGAATTCTAATAAACTTTTTATTAATAATTACATTTTTCGAGGAATTCGTTTAAAATTGTATTAAAAATAATTGAAATTCTGCTATGAGTTTTATTAATTATGAAAATAATTGAATTCCTAAAAAGAATTTTATTATTTACGAAAATAAAATTGAATCCCTGTAAAAATTTCATTATATTTATAAAAATAAATTGAATGGTTGCGAAAAAATTTATAAGAAATTTGTAAATAATTGAATTCCTGTGAAATTTTTATTATTCTATGAAAATAATTAAAGATGTGCGTAGAATTTTATAATTTATTTTTTAAACAATTGAATTCTTTTGGAAAATTTTATTAAAATAGTACCTGGATATTAAAAATCATTAAATTGAGGAAAATTTTTGAAAATAATTTTAAATTTTGCCTAGAATTTTATTAAAATTTTTGAAAATAATCAGGGTTGCCAGAAAATTTTAATTTTGTTTTTCCCTGACTTTTCCCTGATTTCTAGACAAAAATTTTCAGTTTTTCGCTGACCCTGAAGAACATCAATAATTTCTTTTTTAAATAAATATTTCATCATTATTATTTTTCTATATAGGAATTAAGATTCTCAAATTCAATAAATTTAAGATGCTGATGCTGATTTCTGTAATCAGTTGTTCTTAAAATTTCTATTTAAATTCAAACAAAAAAAGACACAAAAATTTAGAATTTTTTTATAAATTCTAAAAATTTAAATTTTTCCAGTACTTTTAATAAAAATCCCCGACTTTTCCCTGACTTGTAGCAACCCTGATAATTGAATTTCGGAGAAGAATTTAATTATATCTAAAAATAATTGAAAACTTTGGCGAGAATTTTTAAAAATTTTTGAACATAATTGAATTTTTGCGAAGAATTTTACTAAAAAAAAAATGTACTTCTTCGATTATTATTTTTGTTTCTTTTCTTCTGGTTTTTAATTTCATTGACGCCGATGACAAGGGTTAAAGTTCGATAATTATTTTTCCATATCGGGCAAGTGGTGTGGCACTCTTGATACGTGCCTAACTATCGGGTTTTGTACAGTCGCGCGTGAAGAGCCCCCCCCCCCCTCACTCCTCCCTCATCTATGTGCGCGCTCTAATCCAACAACTATACAGAGACTGATATAATATACTTGCGATGCTTTTTCATACACGTACGCACATATATTATATAATATATATCTATATTTGTATATACATACACACACACACACACACCCTTAATATATAAAACTAATACATTTATATTTATTATACATGTGTGTATATTTTATATACACACACACATGCGTGTATATATGTGAATGTGTATGCGATTCTCGCACATAAAGGAGAACCGAGTCCGTTCGTTGCTGCGCGCGTTAAATTAATTACGAGCGGCGCTATCATTTATTTTCATTTCTCCCGTGGCGAATAGTCCTACTCCGACCCTCTTCCACGTTTTCAAATCCCTCTGCTCTCTCTCACTCTCTCTTTCCGCCACGTTCTACACTTGAACCGGCGCGCCATCCCTTCGAGCTTTCGGAACTGACACTGCTTGCTTTGCACCTTTTTATACACGACGAAAATTATAATTGCGAACAAAATACACAAGACTTTTATTAATGACATTATTCCTCAAAATTTGTGTAAAACGCTTTTTTATTGCAACCTATAAACTGCGCGTTTGGTAAATAATTATCTTCTACGCACGCAAAACTTATAAATATATTTTCTTTTTAAATTGAGTCCAATTTCTCCCTTTCTCTCATTTTCGTTCTTTTTTTGCTTTTTTAGAACAGAATTTTTTATATTCATTCTAAAATATTTTTTAAAAAAATTAATTTTAATAACTTTTTAATGTTTTTTTATTTATCTCTCTCTAAAACTGAATCAGTGAAAATTCTTATTCTTTAAATCGATTATTTTTAATATTTTTAGAAAAAGTTCATCGACAATTTTCAAATCCATTTGTTTACACTATTCAATTTTGAAAATTTTTAATTATTTGCAAATTATTCAATTAAATATATATATTAAAAAATAAAAACTTCAAATAATATAAAAACAATTCAATTGAACTTTTCTAAAAAAAATTAATTTCAAAATTCAATTATATTTCTAAAAATTCACGCTTGCTTTTAATATTCAATTATTTATCAACAATTTTAACTGAAATCTATTTTTAAATCAATTTTTATTAGAAAATTCTACTAGAATTCAATTATTTAAATACAAAAATAAATAATTTATTGAATAATTGAATGTTTTTTTTTAAATTGAATTTTCATAAAGAATTTTATTTACGAAAATAATTGAATCCCTGTAAAACTTTTATTATTTATGAAAATAATTGAATTATTTAGAGGAAATTTATAAAAAATTTGTAAATAATTGAATTCCTATGTGAAATGTTTATTGTTGTATAAAAAAATTAAATGTTTGCGTAGATTTTTTTAAATAATTGAATTCATTTAGAAAGTTTAATTAAAATAGTAGATATTGAAAATCATTGAATTGAGAAAATTTTTGAAAATAATTGTAATTTTGCCAAAAATTTTATTAAAGTTTTGAAAATAATTTAATTTTAGAATAGAATTTTATTATTTCTAAAAATAATTGAAATTTTGACGAAAAAGAATTATTTTGTTGAACAATTTGAATGCTTCTTAAAATTCATTTTTCATAAAGAATTTTTAAATAATTAAATTCTTTCGACGAATTTTGATAAAATTTTTTTAAATACTATCATTTTTCGAAAAATTTGATTAAAATTGTATTAAAAATAATTGAAATTCTGCGATGAGTTTCATTATTTGTGAAAATAATTGAATCCCTAAGAAGAATTTTATTATTTTTGAACAATATTTAATTTTTGTGAAGAATATTATTACTCTTGAAAATAATTGAATTCTGCAATAATAATTTGTAACTTTTCCAAAATCAAATTATTTTTTGTCTTTTTAACTAAAATTCTTCTATAAAATGCATTATTTTGGTAATTTTTTTAAAAGTTCTTTGAGAATTTTCAGATTTATTTGTTTACAATTCAATTTTACAAAATTTCAATTATTCGTAAATTCTTCAATTTTAAATATATATTAGAAAATAAAAACTTTAAATAATATAAAAACAATTCAATTTAACTTTTTTAAAAAAAATTAATTTTTATTAGAAAATTCTACTAAAATCCAATTATTTAAATAAAAAAAATAATTTATTGAACAATTTGAATGTTTCTTAAAATTCAATTCCCATGAAGAATTTTATCAACAAATTTTTAAATAATTGAATTCTTCCGACGAATTTCAATAAAATTTTTTAAGAATAATAACATTTTTCGAGAAATTCGATTAAAATCTGTATTAAAAAAAATTGAAATTCTGCAATGAGTTTTATTATTTATGAAAATAATTAAATTCCTAAAAAGAATTTTATTATTTACGACAATAATTTAATCCATGCAAAAATGTTATTATTTATAAAAATAATTGAATGATTGCGAAGTAATTTATAAAATAAATTTGTAAATAATGGAATTCCTGTGAAATTTTTATTATTTATGAAAATAATTAAAGGTTTGCG